GCGACATCGGTGCGTCCCAGTGCGCCCCAATGCTCCCATTAGCCCTCCGTGACCTCCCGTCCTCCCCACCTCAATGCCCCCCAGTGCTCCCAGCAGCCCTCCGTGACCTCCTGTCCTCCCCACTTCAATGCCCCCCAGTGCTCCCAGTAGCCCTCCGTGACCTCCTGTCCTCCCCACTTCAATGCCCCCACTGCTTGCACTGCGTCACCCCCTCGTGTACCCTTGGATGGGAGGGGACTCTGCTGCGAGGCCGGTGGCTCCCCAGTGCTCCCCAGTGTTTCTCCTGTGACTTCCCAGTGACACCAGCTCAGCACTCCCAATGCTGCCCCTTCTCCCCTCCCATCCTGGGCGCCCCTACTGTGACACCAGTGCATACCCAGCTGCTCCCCAGTGCCCTTCAGAGTTCCTCCAGTGCTCATCCCAGTGCTCCCAACAGACCCCCACTTCTCTCCCCATCCATGGGGGGGTTCTCATGCCGCCTCAGTGTGTCCCCAAATGTCCCTGTGTGCCACTCATAGTGCCTCTCAGAGCCTCCCAGCGCCCCATCCCTGAGTGTCTCCATCCTTTTGTGTTCCCAGTGTATCCCCAGTATGTCCTAGGGTATTCCCAGGATGTCCCCATCTCCTAGATGCCCCATCCCAGGGTTGTCCCCGTGGTGTCCCCAGGGTGTCACCATCCCAGGGAATCCCCATCTCATGGGTGTCCCCTGGTGTCCCCATGGTGTCCCTGCACTGTTCTCTCAGAGGTGCCCTGGGTAACACCACGCTTGGCCTCCCGCACCCCAACGTCCCTGCGCATCACCTGGCCCCAGCCCCTGGTTCCTCCTGATGGCTACCGGGTGACACTTGTCCCTCTGGTGAGTGGGGACACAGGAGACATGGGGGTGGGGGCATGGGAATGGGACAGGGACAGGAGGGGACACACAGGGGAACAGGGATGTGGAAGGGGGAAGACCCTAGTGCCACCTGTGTGGACACAATGGGATGACCCCAATATGTCCCCAGATCATCTCCATGTGTCCCCATGGTCTCCTCAATGGTATCCCCTACGTGTTCCAAGTATGTCCCCCATAAGCCACCCCATTGTGTCCCAAACATGTGCCCAATGCATCTCCCCAGCACTGGGGAAGATGGGACCCACACCTGGTGGATCCCCAGTGTGTCCCATGGTGTCCTCAACCCGTGTCCAATTTGTCCCCAGTGTTCCCTATTGTGTCTCCACCATGTTCCCAGTGTGTTCTAATGTATGTCCCAACACATCCCCAGTGAGTTGCCACACTGTGTCCTCAATATGTTCCTGACACATCTCCAAGGTGTCCCTGAAGTTCCTAAGGTGTCCCCAGTGTCTACCCCTGGTGTCCCCATGATTTCTGTCCCCATCCCCTCATACTGTCTCCGTCCTCAGGATGACCCTGTGGCCATGACAACGCACGAACTGCCCAGCTCTGCTGTCGCCTTCTCAGTGACAGGGCTGTCCCCAGGCCACCCCTTCGAGCTGCTGGTCCAAGCCCGGCGGGGGCCGCATCTAGGGGCACCTGGGGTCCTGCGTCTGCGCACAGGTGGGGACCCTTGGGGACACCAAAGGGACACCTGGGAACACTGTGGGAACAGGGAAGGGAGTGGGACAACAGGGACAGGGGTGAGGGTGGGAATGGCATGGGGATGAGGATGGAGAGGACCTGGGGTCCTGCAGCTGTGCAGAGATGGTGGCACCTGGGGACAAGGCAAGGGGCATAGAGATGGAGTTAGGAACACAGCAGGGACAGGAATGGAAGTGGGGATGGAAGGACAGGAGTGGAGACAGTGGGTGGCATGGGGACAGGGATAGGGTGGTATACAGATAGGAATGGAATGGGGATGGCACAGGGATGGGGACAGTGATGACATGGGGTCACCATGGGGGCAGGGATAGCAAAGGGACAAGGATGGGGATGGGGCTGGCATGGGCATGGGGACAGGGATGAGAGGCATGGGGACAGTGATAGCACCGTGTCACAGTCAAGGGGACAGCCCAAAAGTGTGGTCAGGAATGGCACAGGAGTGGGATGGATGACCCAGTGCAGGTGGGAATGGCACAGGGATGGTGTCACAGTGTGGTGTTGAACAGAGATGGGATGGCACAAGGATGGGCTGGGGACTCGATGGCATGGCCAAGGGGGGCAAGGATGGGAACAGGGATGACAGGAGAACAAGGATAGGGGAAGCATGGCATGGATACAGGGGGAACAGGGACATGGGGACAGGGTGGGGATGGCCCAGGGATGGGGACAGGGATGTCCTCTGCGATGGATTGATGACGTGGGTCCCCTTTGCTCCACAGCACTCATCCCATCTGTGCCACACTATGAGGGGTCCCCGGCGTCGCCTCAGGGCTCCCTGGGGTCCCCAGCAGTGGCACCATCAGCCCGAGGACCCCCAGAGTCCCCAGGATCCCCAGGGTCACTGGGACCCCCAGGGTCACCAGTGTCACCCATATCACCAGACTTGTCCTTGGGATCACCCGGGTCTTTGGGATCACCAGCATCCCCCAAGGTTCCAGCATCCCCAGTAGCTCGAGGGTCCCCGGGATCCCCAGCACCCCCCAGGTCATCAGTGTCACCAGAGTCCCCAGAGTCACCAGCATCACCAGAATTCCCAGGGTCATCAGTGTCACAAGATTTCTCAGTGTCACCAGCGTCCCCAGAGTCCCCATTGTCCCCAGAGTTCCCAGAGCTTCCAGGGTCCCCAGAGTCCCCAGTGTTTCCAGGGTCCACTCCACCCCCATGGTCCCCGGTGTCCCCATGGCCCCCACTGTCCCCAGGCATCCCCTCCCTGCAGGACCTGGTGGCCCGGCTGTCCACATACAGTGGATCCCTGCTCCAGCGTCTCGAGAGCCACCTTCGGGCCACCAACTTCCCACTCCGTGGCAACCAGACAGTGCCAGGGGTGGCCCGTGCCATCCTGGCTTACATCCTGCGCCGGCACCCAGAGCTTGGGAGAAGACAGGGACCCACAGGTGGATGTCATGGCAGGGACTGAACCAGGAGGGGTGGGGACCCTGGGGAGGGGGATGGGGAGAAAGGATGCCTCAGGGATGAGTGGTACAAAGGGAGAGACATCCTGGAGAGTGGAACAGGGGGGATNGGGAATGCGGGAGGTGGGGTGGGATGGTGGGAGGGGGGAGTGGGACACGACAGGGAAGGAACATTGCAGGGAGGGTGGGATGGAGGGGATGGGGGAAGTGGAACAGGGAGGATGGGGAGGATGGGTGGAAGGAACATCCTGAGGAGGAAGAGGGTAACCAGGCACAGGGGGAGGGACATCTTGGGGAGGGGAATGAGAGAGATGGGGTGACAGGGATGTCCTGTAATAGACTCTCTTGGGACAGGGGAGGGTGGAAACCAGGAGCCGGTGCTGGAATGGGTGGACATGGATGGGATGGAGCTGATGGAGCCATGGAAGGATGTGGAGAAAACAGGTACCGATGTGGGGGGTGATGGATGGGATAAGCCCAGGTGTTAGATTTGATGACCCTTCTGGGTACCATCCAGTTCAGGAGATTCTGTGATTCTGTGATACCTGGGATGGAGACAGGATGGATGGATGGATGGATGGATGGATGGATGGATGGATGGCTCATGGATAGAGGGATGGAGAGACGGATGAATGGAGACATGAATGGAGGAGGGGATGGATGAAGAGGTGGAGGGTTAAGACAGTGATAGATGGAGGGAGGGCTGGAGACATGGATGGCCATGTGAATAGACAGATGCCGGTGTTCCAACTTCATTGCAGTCAAGGCTGAGCCAGAGGAGCTGCGTCCATCCCGGCCAGTCCTGGGTGACCTCAGTGTCACCAGCATCGCCCCCAGCTCCATGCAGCTGCAGTGGACTGTCCCCAAGGGCTCCTTTGACTCCTTCATGCTGCAGTACCGGGATGCCCAAGGCCAGCCCCAGGCCTTGCCCATTGATGGCGGGTCTCACTCGGTGACGGTGCCGGGGCTGTCCCCCTCCCGCCGGTACCGCTTCCACCTCTATGGACTGCGGGGTGGGAAGAGGATCGACCGTGTTTCCATTGATGTCATCACAGGTGAGGGTGGATGGATGAATGGATGATGGATGGAGGGATCAACATATACATGTATGAGATATATATAACATATATATATATATGTGTGTGTGTTATATATGTATATATAACATATATATATATTTGAGATATCCCATCTCATCCTATCCCAATTTGTTATCAAGCACCCACTGACATCATCATCACCCATCATCATCGTTACCATCATCATCCATCACCCATTCCCATCCTTCCACCTAAGCTGTCCCCAGTTTCCCCCAATCCCAAGTTTGCCAGCTTGGGGGTGGAGGATGGGTAAGAGCATAAGAGGATGGATGGATGGATGGATGGATGGATGGATGGATGGATGGATGGATGGTACAAGGATGATACATGATTGTCGTTGAGAGCATTTTGTTGGTGGTTTGACGTATCAGATGAGTGGCTGAGTGGTTGGATGACTCAGGTGAGATTAAAGGAGTTGAAGGAAAAGGCGCTTGGTATGCCCCGTGAATGAATGCATGGGTTGGTTGGGGGATGGTGGATGTTTGGATGGACACAGGCATTCCCACCCCCAGCACTATCCACACCCCACTACAGCTGCAGCAGAGCCAGAGGAGCAGCCCCTGCCCTCAGAGAAGCCCCAACATGAAAAACATCGAACTGAGTCCCCTGCATCTGAGGCACCCCTTGTGCGGGCAATGCTGGACGATCTGAGGGTCTCCAGCGTCACCCCCGACTCTGTGCAGCTGCAGTGGAGCGTCCCCAGTGGCTCCTTTGACTCCTTCATGCTGCAGTATCGGGATGCCGAGGGCCAGCCCCAGGCCTTGCCCATCACTGGCAGGTCCCGCTCAGTGACAGTGCCAGGTCTGTCTCCATCCCACCAGTACCGCTTCCACCTCTATGGGCTGCGGGGTAAAAAGAAGATTGACCACGTCTCCACTGAGGCTGTGACAGGTGAGGGGGAAGGTCAGGGGGGTGAGGGTACATAGAGGAAGTGAGATAGGGAGGGATTAAGGAATGGGGGAATGGGTGGGTGAAGGAAGCGATAGAGAGGTGCAGGAGTAGAAAGATGGAGGGTGGAAGGATGGATGGATGGATGGATGGATGGATGGATGGATGGATGGATGGATGGACGGAGGGGAAGAGATGAAGAATGGGTGGATAATTGGCTCCTCGGTGAGTTGGTTGGGTAGACTGAAGGATGACGGGATGGTTGGGAATGCATGGATGGTGATGGAAGATATATCAATGGAAGTGATCTTCTGAGTGGGATGGATGGATGAATGCTGAATGGACACGTGTCTGGACAGGTGCACATGAGGCTGAGTGCATGGCTGGTTTTTACTTTGAGTGAATGAGGGGGTGAGAGTAGGGGAATAAGATTGTATTCAAATCAGATTAAAATAGGATTTTATTCAAGGACTGACTGAAAGAAACAGGATGCATTGATGAATGGATGGATGAAGATGGATGAAGATGGATGAATGGATGAAGATGGATAATGAATGATAGCTGCTGGGACAGTTTGTTAGTGGTTTGATATGTCAGATCAGCCGGTGGGTGGCTGGATGACCAAATACAGGGTGAGATTAAAGAACTTGAATGAAAATGTGCATAGTATGACCAGTAGCTAGATGGATGGGTAGATGATGGGTGATGGAATTAATAGTCCAGCATAAAAAATTATAAATGGAAGGATGAATACACTGATTTGTGGGTAGTGGGATGGATGATTGGATGGAGAAAGAGACTACCATGCTGTCATCCATTGCAGGCACAGAAGAGCCAGAGGAATTGCCCTTGCCCTCAGAGGAGCAAAAACATGAGAAACTCCAAATTGAGACACCCCCGTCTGATTCCCCCCCGGTGCAGGCAGTGATGGGGGAGCTGAGGGTATCCAATGTCACCTCCAGCTCCATGCAGCTGCAGTGGAGTGTTCCTGAGGGCTCCTTTGACTCCTTCATGCTGCAGTACCGGGATGCCCATGGCCAGCCCCAGGCCCTGCCCATTGATGGGAGGTCCCGATCGGTGACGGTGCCGGGGCTGTCCCCGTCTCGCCGGTACCGCTTCCATCTGTACGGGCTGCAGGGTAGGAAGAAGACAGACCGTGTCTCTATCGACATTATCACAGGTGAGTTGGAAGGTCAGAGGGATGGATGGATGGATGGATGGATGGATGGATGGATGGATGGTTGATGGATGCCAGAATGAATGATCCAGAATATGGAAGTGTGGATTGATGGATCAGATGATTGGTTGGTAGGTGGTAGACTGATGCTTGGATGGACACACCCATCACAATCCCCTCTCCATTACAGCAGCAGAAGAGCCAGAGGAATTGCTCCTGCCCACAGAGGAACTGCAGGATGAGAAACCCCAAACTGAGGCCCCACCATCTGAGGCCACTCCAGCACAGGCAGTACTGGATGAGCTGAGGGTCTCCAGCATCACCCCCAGCTCTGTGCAGCTTCAGTGGACTGTCCCCAAGGGCTCCTTTGACTCCTTCATGCTGCAGTATCGGGATGCTGAGGGCCAGCCCCAGGCCCTGCCCATCGATGGCGGGTCTCGCTCGGTGACGGTGCCAGGCCTGTCCCCATCCCGCCGGTACCGCTTCCACCTCTATGGGCTGCGTGGAGGCAAAAGGATTGACCGTGTCTCCACTGACACTGTCACAGGTGAGGCAGAAGGTGAAAGGGGCCTTCTGGAAGGATCAGGAAATGAGGGCATCAAGGGATCCCATGCCCATCACATACCCACCACTGAGCAACCATTGACTCAGGATCACTCCATCCACCATCAACCCTTCCAGCAATCTATTGAATTCCACCTTCCATCATCCATCATCCATCATCAGCCACAGCAACCATCAATTATCCATCATCATCCATCATCCTTATCTACCACGTATCACCATCATCCATCAATTATCATGCATCCATCTATCCATCCATGCTTCCCTCCTCCTCTATCCATCAAGGACGGATTCAATGATGGATGAATGGAAGATTGTCCATGGGAAATGGGGGAGGGGTGAAGATGTGGAGGGAAATGGTAAGAAAGAGGCAGGAGATGGACATGTCTAGGATGTTATGTTGGATATTGAGTGCGTGATCGGATGGATGGATGGATGGATGGATGGATGGATGGATGGATGGATGGATGATGGATGGATGGATGGATTAGTTAGTGGGTAGTTTGAGAGATATTTGGAGGGACACATGAATGCTCATGCCCATCACCATCCTCCCGCCAATGCAGCCAGTGAAGAACCCTTGCCCTCGGTGACCAAACACGAGAAGCCAAAAGCTGAGTCCACCACATCTGATGCCTTCCCAGCTCCAGCAGTTCTCAGTGACATGACAGTCTCCAGTGTCACACCCAACTCTGTGCAGCTGCAGTGGAGCGTCCCCAAGGGCCCCTTTGACTCCTTCATGCTGCAGTACCGGGATGCCCATGGCCAGCCCCAGGCCCAGCCCATTGATGGGGAATCTCGCTCTGTGACTGTGCCAGGGCTGTCCCCATCCCACCGGTACCGCTTCCACCTCTATGGGCTGAGGGGAAAGAAAAAGACTGACCACGTCTCCACCGAGGCTATAACAGGTAAGGGGGATGGTCAGGGGAAGGATGGGTGGTTGTATGTGTAGATGAAGAATAATGGATCTATGGAGAGACGGAGAGATCAAGGGATGGAGGAATGGGTGATTGGAGGAAGGAATGGATGGATGGATGGATGGATGGATGGATGGATGGATGGATGGATGGCTGGATGGCTGGATGGATGGATGGATGATGGATGGATGGATGGATGGATGGATGGATGGATGGATGGATGATGGCTGTCAGAATGAATGATCCAGAATATGGAAGTGTGGATTGATGGATCAGATGATTGGTTGGTCGGTACTAGACTGATACTTGAATGGACACACCCATCGCCATCTCTTCTCCGTGGCAGCAGCAGAAGAGCCAGAGGAACTGCCCCTGCCCACAGAGGAACGGCAGGATGAGAAACCCCAAACTGAGGCCCCACCATCTGAGGCCACTCCAGCACAGGCAGTACTGGATGAGCTGAGGGTCTCCAGCATCACCCCCAGCTCTGTGCAGCTTCAGTGGACTGTCCCCAAGAGCTCCTTTGACTCCTTCATGCTGCAGTATCGGGATGCTCAGGGCCAGCCCCAGGCCCTGCCCATCGATGGCGGGTCTCGCTCGGTGACGGTGCCAGGCCTGTCCCCATCCCGCCGGTACCGCTTCCACCTCTATGGGCTGCGTGGAGGCAAAAGGATTGACCGTGTCTCCACCGACACTGTCACAGGTGAGGCAGAAGGTCAAAGTGACCTCCTGGAAAGATCAAGAAAGGAGGGCATCAAGGGATCCCATGCCCATCACATACCCACCAGTGAGCAACCATTGACTCAGCACCATCTGATCCACCATCAACCCTTCCACCAACCTGTTCACTCCCACCTTCCATCATCCATCATCCATCGTCAGCTGCAGCAACCACCATCCATCAATGCATCAATGCATCCATCATCGTCCATCATCTTCATCTACAGTGTATAAGCATCACCATCATCCATCAATTATCATGCATACACCTATCCATCCATGCTTTCCCTCACCCTCTATCCATCAAGGATGGATTCAGTGATCAATGAATGGAAGATTGTCCATGGGAAATGGAGGTGGGAGGGGTGAAGGTGTGGAGAGATATGGTAAGAGAGATACAGAGAGATGGAGGTGGATCTGTTTAGGGGTTATTTTGAGTGTATATGTGATAGGATGGATGGATGGATGGATGGATGGATGGATGGATGGATGGTGGATGGATGGATGATGGAGGGATGGATGGATTAGTTAGTGGGGGTGGGAGAGACATTTAAAGGGATGCATGGATGCTCATGCCCATCACCATCCTCCCACCAATGCAGCCAGTGAAGAAACCTTGCCCTCAGAGGAGCCCAAACACGAGAAGCCAAAAGCTGAGTCCACCACATCTGATGCCCTCCCGGCTCCAGCAGTTCTCAGTGACATGACAGTCTCCAGTGTCACACCCAACTCTGTGCAGCTGCAGTGGAGTGTCCCTGAGGGCCCCTTTGACTCCTTCATGCTGCAGTACCGGGATGCCCATGGCCAGCCCCAGGCCCTGCCCATTGTGTGCCAGGGCTGTCCCCATCCCACCGGTACCGCTTCCACCTCTATGGGCTGAGGGGAAAGAAAAAGACTGACCACGTCTCCACCGAGGCTATAACAGGTAAGGGGGATGGTCAGGGGAAGGACGGGTGGTTGTATGTGTAGATGAATAATAATGGATGTTTGAAGAGAGGGAGGGATCAAGGGATGGAGGAATGGGTGATTGGAGGAAGGGATGGATAAAATGGAGGAGTGGAGAAATAGATGGATGGCTGGATGGATGGATGGATGGATGGATGGATGGATGGATGGACGGACAGCAGTTATGGACAATGGGTGCTGGGATGGTTGGTTAGATGATGGAGGAATGCACGGACAGCCACATCCATCACCATCCTTTCTGCATTGCAGCCACAGACAAGACAGAGGAGCCACCCTCACCCTCCGGGGAGCCCCAAACTGAAGCCCTGCCAACTGATGACAACCAGCCTGAGCATACCCAAAATGAGGTCCCCCTGGCGCGGGCAGTGCTGGGAGAGCTGAGAGTTGCCAGTGTCACCCCCGACTCTGTGCAGCTGCAGTGGAGCGTCCCTGAGGCCCCCTTTGACTCCTTCATGCTGCAGTACCGGGATGCCCAGGGCCAGCCCCAGGCCCTGCCCATTGATGGGGGATCTCGCTCCATAACGGTGCCAGGGCTGTCCCCATCCCGCCGGTACCGCTTCCACCTCTATGGGCTGAGGGATGGGAAGAGGACTGACCGTGTCTCCACTGACATTATCACAGGTAAGGGGGAAGGTCTGAAAGTGAAAGGGTTGGAGAGGTGGTTGTAGGGATGGAGAGATGGAGCAATCAAAGGATCCCATCCCATTCACATCCCAACATGCCATTCAGTGTTCAGTGATGACACCAGCATCATCCAGTCGACCACTGACCCTTCCACTGGCCTATTAGCCAACATGCACAATCATCATCATCATCATTATTTAACGGGACAGATCCATGATCTATCCATCACCCATCACTGATCCCTCCATTCCCAGATGGCTCCACTTCTCCTCAGTTTCCAGCTTGGTAGTGGAGGATGTGTGGGAGTGTTAGCAAGGTAGAGGCATGGATGGATAGACAAATGATTATGTTGATGATTATGATGATTGTGATAATGGATGGATGATGCTGGGTGATGGAAAATGGATGAACGATGGATGAATGAAGAAGAATGGAATGGCAATGGATGGACAGTGAATGGATGGATGGATGGATGGATGGATGGATGGATGGTGATTGGGTGGATGATAGATGGACTTGTTGATGGACAACCAGATTCCCAGACCTATCACTATCCCCTCTCCATCACAGCTGCAGCCAAGCCAGAGGAGCTGCCCCTGCCTTCAGAGGAGCCCAAGCCTGAGGTCATCCCATCTGATGCCCCACCAGCATGGGCAGAGCTGGGGGAGCTGAAGGTCTCCAGTGTCACCCCTGACTCTGTGCAGCTGCAATGGAGCGTCCCCAAGGGCCCCTTTGATTCCTTCATGCTGCAGTATCGGGATGTCCATGGCGAGCCCCAGTCCCTGCCCATTGATGGCAGGTCCCGCTCGGTGACAGTGCCAGGGCTGTCCCCATCTTATCAGTACCGCTTCCACCTCTACGGGTTGCAAGATGGGAAAAGGGTTGACCATGCGTCCACCAATGTCATCACAGGTGAGGGGGGCTCAGGTCCCTTCTGCACTTGTGGTGCATCAAAGCTCTCAGACAGTCCTTCAAGTTTGGGGAGCCTGGGAAGTGCTTCTGGGGCTTGGGATGGGGGTGGGAATGTGGAGGCCAGAGGGATGGAGAGTAGAGGGATGTGTGGACCCATGGATGCATGATGGATGATGGTGGATGGATGGATGGATGGATGGATGGATGGATGGATGGATGATGGATGGATGGATGGATGGATGGATGGATGGATGGATGGATGGAGTGATGGTTCAATGACGTGTTGATTCTCATGCCCATCATCATCCCCTCTCCATCACAGATGCAGCAGTGCCAGAGCAGATGCCCATACCCTCAGTGGAGCCCCAACTTGAAGATCACAAACCTGAGCAGCCCCAAACCGAGGTCGACCAGGGACAGGTCGCACTGGGGAAGTTGAGGGTCTCCAACGTCACACCCAACTCCGTGCAGCTGCAGTGGAGCATCTCTGAGGGCTCCTTTGACTCCTTTACACTGCAGTACAGGGATGCCCTGGGCCAGCCCCAAGCCCTGGCTGTTGATGGGGAATCCCGCTCCATAACAGTGCCAGGGCTGTCCCCATCCCACCGGTACCGCTTCCACCTCTATGGACTGAGGGACGGGAAGAGGACTGACCGTGTCTCCACTGACATTATCACAGGTAAGGGGGAAGGTCTGAAAGTGAAAGGGTTGGAGAGGTGGTTGTAGGGATGGAGAGATGGAGCAATCAAAGGATCCCATCCCAATCACATCCCTACGTGCCATTCAGTGTTCACTGACACCAGCATCATCCAATCAACCACTGACCCTTCCACTGGCCTATTAGCCAACATGCACCATCATCATCATCATCATTATTTAACGGGACAGATCCATGATCTATCCATCAACCATCACTGATCCCTCCATTCCCAGATGGCTCCACTTCTCCTCAGTTTCCAGCTTGGTAGTGGAGGATGTGTGGGAGTGTTAGCAAGGTAGAGGCATGGATGGATAGACAAATGATTATGCTGATGATTATGATGGCTGTGATAATGGATGGATGATGGAAGAAGAATGGAATGGCAATGGATGGACAGTGAATGGATGGATGGATGGATGGATGGATGGATGGATGGATGGATGGATGGAAGGAAGTGATGGAACATGGATGATGGATGGTGGATGATGGATGGATGGATGATGGATGGATGGATGGATGGATGGATGGATGGACTGATGTGTTAGTAGATGTGTTTCGGTCGAAGCATGTTTGGATGGACACATCCATCACCATCCCTTCTCCATTGCAGCTGCTGAGAAGAAGCTGGAGGAACTGCCCCTGCCTACAAACGTACCACAGCAGCATGAGAAACCCCAAACTGAGGCCCCCACTGCTGAGGCACTCCCAGCACGAGCAGTGCTGAGGGACCTGACAGTCTCCAGTGTCACCCCCAGCTCTGTGCAGCTGCAGTGGAGTGTCCCTGAGGGCTCCTTTGACTCCTTCATGCTGCAGTACCGGGATGCCCATGGCCAGCCCCAGGCCCTGCCCATTGATGGGGGATCTCACTCTGTAACGGTGCCAGGGCTGTCCCCATCCCACCGGTACCGCTTCCACCTCTATGGGCTGAGGGGAAAGAAAAAGACTGACCACGTCTCCACCGAGACGATGACAGGTAAGGGGGATGGCCAGGGGAAGGAATTTGTGTAGATGAAGAAAAATGGATGCATGAAGAGATGGAGGGATCAAGGGATGGAGGAATGGGTGATTGGAGGAAGGGATGGAATGGTGGAGGAATGGAGGAATGGATGGATGGATGGATGGATGGATGGATGGATGGATGGATGCATGGATGCATGGATGGATGGATGGATGGATGGATGCATGGATGCATGGATGCATGGATGCGTGGATGCGTTGATTGGTTGGTAGGTCGTGGACTGATGTTTGGATGGACACACCCATCACCATCCCCTCTCCATTACAGCAGCAGAAGAGCCAGAGGAACTGCCCCTGCCCACAGAGGAACCGCAGGATGAGAATCCCCAAACTGAGGCCCCACCATCTGAGGCCACTCCAGCACAGGCAGTACTGGATGAGCTGAGGGTCTCCAGCGTCACCCCCAGCTCTGTGCAGCTTCAGTGGACTGTCCCCAAGGGCTCCTTTGACTCCTTCATGCTGCAGTATCGGGATGCTGAGGGCCAGCCCCAGGCCCTGCCCATCGATGGCGGGTCTCGCTCAGTGACGGTGCCAGGCCTGTCCCCATCCCGCCGGTACCGCTTCCACCTCTATGGGCTGCGTGGAGGCAAAAGGATTGACCGTGTCTCCACTGACACTGTCACAGGTGAGGCAGAAGGTGAAAGGGACCTTCTGGAAGGGTCAGGAAATGAGGGCATCAAGGGATCCCATGCCCATCACATACCCACCAGTGGGCAACCATTGTCTCAGCACCATCTGATCCACCATCAACCCTTCCACCAACCTTTTGACTAAAACCTTCCATCATCCATCATCAGCCGCAGCAACCATCAGTTATCCATCATCCATCATCAGCCGCAGCAACCATCTATTATCAGTCATGCATCATCTTCCTCTACCATATATAACCATCACCATCATCTATCAATTATCATGCATCCATCTATCCATCCATGCTTCCCTCATCCTCTATCCATCAAGAATATTCGCCTTAATGATGGAGTAATGGAAGATTGTGCATGGGAAATGGAAGTGGGAGGGGTGAAGATTTGGAGGGTTTATTATTAGAAAGAGGCTGAGAGGAGGTGGAACTATCTTGGGGGTTGTGTTGGGTGTATTTGTGGTACGAAGGATGGATGGATGGATGGATGTATGGATGGATGGATGGATGGATGGATTAGCTGGTTGGTAGATGGTAGATGGATGTTTGGATGAACACATCCATCTCCATCCCTTCTCCATGGCAGCCACAGAGAAGCCGGAGGAACTGCCCCTGCCTACAGAGGAACCACAGCATGAAAAATCCAAAACTGAGGAACCCGCAACTCAGGCATTCCCAGCACGAGCAGTACTGGGGGATCTGAAGGTCTCCAGTGTCACCCCCAGCTCCGTGCAGCTGCTGTGGACTGTCCCTGAGGGCCCCTTTGACTCCTTCATGCTGCAGTACCGGGATGCCCATGGCCAGCCCCAGGCCCTACCCATTGATGGGGAATCTCGCTCTGTGACTGTGCCAGGGCTGTCCCCGTCCCACCGGTACCGCTTCCACCTCTATGGGCTGAGGGGAAGGAAGAAGGTTGACCACGTCTCCACCGAGGCCCTGACAGGTAAGGGAGATGGTCAGGGGAAGGAAGGGTGGGAGGATGTGTAGATGAAGAAAAATGGATGTGATGGAAGATGGATGATGGATGGTGGATGGATGGGTGGGTGGATGGATGGATGGATGGATGGATGGATGGATGGATGGATGATGGATGGATGGATGGAAGGATGGATGGATGGATGGATGGATGGATGGATGGACTGATGTGTTAGTAGATGTGTTTCGGTCGAAGCATGTTTGGATGGACACATCCATCACCATCCCTTCTCCATTGCAGCTGCTGAGAAGAAGCTGGAGGAACTGCCCCTGCCTACAAACGTACCACAGCAGCATGAGAAACCCCAAACTGAGGCCCCCACTGCTGAGGCACTCCCAGCACGAGCAGTGCTGAGGGACCTGACAGTCTCCAGTGTCACCCCCAGCTCTGTGCAGCTGCAGTGGAGTGTCCCTGAGGGCTCCTTTGACTCCTTCATGCTGCAGTACCGGGATGCCCATGGCCAGCCCCAGGCCCTGCCCATCGATGGGGAATCTCGCTCTGTAACGGTGCCAGGGCTGTCCCCATCCCACCGGTACCGCTTCCACCTCTATGGGCTGAGGGGAAGGAAAAAGATTGACCACGTCTCCACCGAGGCGATGACAGGTAAGGGGGATGGCCAGGGGAAGGAATTTGGGGTGGATGTGTAGATGAATAATAATGGATATTTGAAGAGATGGAGGTATCAAGGGATGGAGGAATGGGTGACTGGAGGAAGGGATGGATGGATGGATGGATGGATGGATGGATGGATGGATGGATGGATTCATGGATTCATGGATTCATGGATGGATGGATGATGGATGCCAGAATGAATGATCCAGAATATGGAAGTGTGGATTGACGGATGAGATGATTGGTTGGTAGGTAGTGGACTGATATTTGGATGGACACACCCATCACCATCCCCTCTCCATTACAGCAGCAGAAGAGCCAGAGGAACTGCAGGATGAGAATCCCCAAACTGAGGCCCCACCATCTGAGGCCACTCCAGCACAGGCAGTACTGGATGAGCTGAGGGTCTCCAGCGTCACCCCCAGCTCTGTGCAGCTGCAGTGGACTGTCCCCAAGGCTCCCTTTGACTCCTTCATGCTGCAGTATCGGGATGCTGAGGGCCAGCCTCAGGCCCTGCCCATCGATGGCAGGTCTCGCTCAGTGACGGTGCCAGGCCTGTCCCCATCCCGCCGGTACCGCTTCCACCTCTATGGGCTGCGTGGAGGCAAAAGGATTGACCGTGTCTCCACCGACACTGTCACAGGTGAGACCGAAGGTCAAAGGGACCATCTGGAAGGGTCAGGAAATGAGGGCATCAAGGGATCCCATGCCCATCACATCCCCACCAGCGAGAAACCATTGACTCAGGATCACTCGGTCCACCATCGACCCTTCCATCAACCTTTTGACTAACACCTTCCATCATCCATCATCCATTATCAGCCGCTGCAACCATCAGTTATCCACCATTCATCATCTTCCTCTACCATGTATAACCATCACCATCATCCATCAATTATCATGCGTCCTTCTATCCATCCATGCTTCCCTCATCTACTATCCATCAAGGATATTCACTCCAATGATGGATAAATGTAATATTTCCCATGGGAAATGGAGGAGGGAGGAGTGAAGATGTGGAGGGATATGGTAAGAAAGATATAGAGATATGGAGGCAGAACTGTCTAAGGGGTTGTGTTTGGTGTATATGTCATGGGAGGAATGGATGGATGGATGGATGGATGGATGGATGGATGGATGGATGGATGGATTAGTTGGTTGGTAGATGGTAGATGGACTCTTGGATGGACAAATCCATCTCCATCCCTTCTCCATGGCAGCCGCAGAGAAGCTGGAGGAACTGCCCCTGCCTACAGAGGAACCACAGCATGAAAAACACAAAACTGAGTCCCCCTCTGCGGAGGCACTCCTAACACGTGCAGTACTGGGGGATCTGAAGGTCTCCAGTGTCACCCCTGACTCTGTGCAGCTGCAGTGGAGCGTCCCCGAGGCCCCCTTTGACTCCTTCATGCTGCAGTACCGGGATGTCCATGGCCAGCCCCAGGCCCTGCCCATTGATGGGGAATCTCGCTCTGTGACTGTGCCAGGGCTGTCCCCATCCCACCGGTACCGCTTCCACCTCTATGGGTTGAGGGGAAGGAAGAAGATTGACCACGTCTCCACCGAGGCCATGACGGGTAAGGGAGATGGTCAGGGGAAGGAAGTTGGGATGGATGTGTAGATGAATTATAATGAATGTTTGAAGAGATGGAGGGATCAAGGGATGGAGGAATGGGTGACTGGAGGAAGGGATGGATGGATGGATGGATGGATGGCTGGATGGATGGATGGATGGATGGATGGATGGATGGATGGATGGATGGATGCATGGATGGTTGATGGATGCCAGAATGAATGATCCAGAATATGGAAGTGTGGATTGATGGATGAGTTGATTAGTTGGTAGGTGGTAGACTGATGCTTGGATGGACACACCCATCACAATCCCCTCTCCATTACAGCAGCAGAAGAGCCAGAGGAACTGCCCCTGCCCACAGAGGAACGGCAGGATGAGAATCCCCAAACTGAGGCCCCACCATCTGAGGCCACTCCAGCACAGGCAGTACTGGATGAGCTGAGGGTCTCCAGCGTCACCCCCAGCTCTGTGCAGCTGCAGTGGACTGTCCCCAAGGGCTCCTTTGACTCCTTCATGCTGCAGTATCGGGATGCTGAGGGCCAGCCTCAGGCCCTGCCCATCGATGGCAGGTCTCGCTCGGTGACGGTGCCAGGGCTGTCCCCATCCCGCCGGTACCGCTTCCACCTCTATGGGCTGCGTGGAGGCAAAAGGATTGACCGTGTCTCCACCGACACTGTCACAGGTGAGGCAGAAGGTGAAAGGGACCTTCTGGAAGGATCAGGAAATGAGGGCATCAAGGGATCCCATGCCCATCACATACCCACCAGTGGGCAACCATTGACTCAGCACCATCTGATCCACCATCAACCCTTCCACCAACCTATTGAATTCCTCCTTCCATCATCCATCATCAGCCTCAGCAACCATCAATTATCCATCATCATCCATTATCTTTATCTACCACGTATCTCCATCATCCATCAATTATCATGCATCCATCTATCCATCCATGCTTCCCTCCTCCTCTATCCATCAAGGACGGATTCGATGATGGATAATGGAAGATGAGTAATGTCCATGAGAAATGGAGATTGGAGGTGTGAAGGTGTAGAGGGATGTGGGAAGAAAGAGACAGAGAGTTGGAGATGGAATTATCTAGGGGTTTACGTTGGATGTTGAGTGCGTGATACAAGAATGGATGGATGGATGGATGGATGGATGGATGGATGGATTAGTTGGTGGTGGGAGAGACATTTGGAGGTACACATGGATGCTCATGCCCATCACCATCCCCCCTCCAATGCAGCCTGTGGAGAACCTTTGCCTTCAGAGGAGCCCAAACAGGAGAAGCCAAAAACTGTGTTGACCACATCTGATGAACTCCTGGTATGAGCGATGCTGGGGGATCTGAGGGTCTCCAGTGTCACCCCCAGCTCTGTGCAGCTGTGGAGTGTCCCTGAGGGCTCCTTTGACTCCTTCATGCTGCAGTTCTAGGATGCCCATGGCCAGCCCCAGGCTCTGCCCATCGCTGGTGGGTCCTGCTCAGTGACGGTGCCGGGGCTGTCCCCCTCCCACTGGTACCGCTTCCACCTCTATGGGATGCACTGAGTGAAAATTATTGGCCATGTTTCCAACGATGTCATCACATGTGAGAGGGAAAATCAGAGGAAAGAAGGGATGAGCGATAGATGGAGGGATGGAGAGGCAGAGACATCAAGAGCTGGATGAATCATGGGTTTCTATTCACATCCCACCCCTAAACGACATCATGGACTTTTCTAGTCGGGCATCATCCATTCAACCACTGACCAATTGAACCCCCCACCATCATCCATCGTCATCATCCCTCATGATTCATCATCAGCCATCAACAATCCATGACCATCAATAATATACGTATTGGGTGAGGTGTTGGGTTGGGTGTTGGGTGTGTGGTAGGATTGATGAATGATGGATGGATAGCAGTTATGCACAGTGGGTATAGGGATTGTTGGGTAGATGATGGATGGATATGTGGATGAATGCATGGACAGCCACATCCATCACCATCCTTTCTGCATACCAGCCACAGACAAGACAGAGGAGCCACCCTCACCCTCCGAGGAGCCCCAAACTGAAGCCCTGCCAACTGACGACAACCAGCCTGAGCATACCCAAAATGAGGTCCCCCTGGTGCGGGCAGTGCTGGGAGAGCTGAGAGTTGCCAGTGTCACCCCCGACTCTGTGCAGCTGCAGTGGAGCGTCCCTGAGGGCCCCTTTGACTCCTTCATGCTGCAGTACCGGGATGCCCAGGGCCAGCCCCAGGCCCTGCCCATTGATGGGGAATCTCGCTCCATAACGGTGCCGGGGCTGTCCCCATCCCACCGGTACCGCTTCCACCTCTATGGGCTGAGGGACGGGAAGAGGACTGACCGTGTCTCCACTGACATTATCACAGGTAAGGGGGAAGGTCTGAAAGTGAAAGGGTTGGAGAGGTGGTTTTAGGGATGGAGAGATGGAGCAATCAAAGGATCCCATCCTAATCACCTCCCTACGTGCCATTCAGTGTTCACTGACACCAACATCATCCAATCAACCACTGACCCTTCCACTGGCCTATTAGCCAACATGCACATTCATCATCATCATCATCATCATTATTTAACGGGACAGATCCATGATCTATCCATCACCCATCACTGATCCCTCCATTCCCAGATGGCTCCACTTCTCCTCAGTTTCCAGCTTGGTAGTGGAGGATGTGTGGGAGTGTTAACAAGGTAGAGGCATGGATGGATAGACAGATGATTATGCTGATGATTATGATGGCTGTGATAATGGATGGATGATGCTGGGTGATGGAAAATGGATGAACGATGGATGATGGAAGAAGAATGGAATGGCAATGGATGGACAGTGGATGGATGGATGGATGGTGATTGGGTGGATGTGGATGGATGGATGGATGGTGATTGGGTGGATGATAGATGGACTTGTTGATGGACAACCAGATTCCCAGACCTATCACTATCCCCTCTCCATCACAGCTGCAGCCAAGCCAGAGGAGCTGCCCCTGCCTTCAGAGGAGCCCAAGCCTGAGGTCATCCCATCTGATGCCCCACCAGCATGGGCAGAGCTGGGGGAGCTGAAGGTCTCCAGTGTCACCCCTGACTCTGTGCAGCTGCAATGGAGCGTCCCCAAGGGCCCCTTTGATTCCTTCATGCTGCAGTATCGGGATGTCCATGGCGAGCCCCAGTCCCTGCCCATTGATGGCAGGTCCCGCTCGGTGACAGTGCCAGGGCTGTCCCCATCCTATCAGTACCGCTTCCACCTCTATGGGTTGCAAGATGGGAAAAGGGTTGACCATGCGTCCACCAATGTCATCACAGGTGAGGGGGGCTCAGTCCCTTCTGCACTTGTGGTGCATCAAAGCTCTCAGACAGTCCTTCAAGTTTGGGGAGCCTGGGAAGTGCTTCTGGGGCTTGGGATGGGGGTGGGAATGTGGAGGCCAGAGGGATGGAGAGTAGAGGGATGTGTGGACCCATGGATGCATGATGGATGATGGTGGATGGATGGATGGATGGATGGATGGATGGATGGATGGATGATGGATGGATGGATGGATGGATGGATGGATGGATGGATGGATGGAGTGATGGTTCAATGACGTGTTGATTCTCATGCCCATCATCATCCCCTCTCCATCACAGATGCAGCAGTGCCAGAGCAGATGCCCATACCCTCAGTGGAGCCCCAACTTGAAGATCACAAACCTGAGCAGCCCCAAACCGAGGTCGACCAGGGACAGGTCGCACTGGGGAAGTTGAGGGTCTCCAACGTCACACCCAACTCCGTGCAGCTGCAGTGGAGCATCTCTGAGGGCTCCTTTGACTCCTTTACACTGCAGTACAGGGATGCCCTGGGCCAGCCCCAAGCCCTGGCTGTTGATGGGGGGTCCCGCTCGGTGACAGTGCCTGGGCTGTCCCCATCCCACTGGTATCGCTTCCACCTCTATGGAGTGCGGGGCAGGAAGAGGATTGACCGCGTCTCCACCGATGTTGTCACAGGTGAGGAGGAAGGTCAGAGGGTGGAAGGGTTGGGGAGATGGAAGTAGGGAAGGAGAGATTGATGGAAAGTTGGAGAAAAAGGTGGATTATGAAGGATGCCTGGAGGTTTGGATGGACTCCTGAATAGAAGGATGGACATAAACATCATTGGGTTCCTGCAGAAATAGATAGTGAAAGGGTAGATGGAGGGCTGGGTACATGGGAGATGGATGATGTGGGTTATCAATCATTGATGATGGCAAGTATCCATTGAGCAGACATTTTCTGTGACTTGTGACTGTCAGATTGTAAATGGTGATATGGAGGGGAAGGAACAATGGATGGAATTGGGCAGGGAAACTGGAGACAGCCTGGAGATGGAGAGATGGCTGGGGCCATGGGAGTGTGGAGTGATGAAGGGATGGATGGATGGGTGGGTGGATGGATGGATGGATGGATGGATGGATGGATGGATGGATGGATAGATGGATGGATGGATGGATGGATGGATGGATGGATGGATGGATGGATGGATGGAGGTGAATATTAAATGAATCAAGATGATGTTGATTATGACGATGATGAAGATGTGGGTAATGGCAGATGCTGGTGAGTAAGGTCATGGAAGAGTCAGTGGTTGAATGGTCAATTGGTGCTCAAGGACAGGTGAGGAGGGAAGGGTGAGAAGTGACTGGGAAGAAATGATGCATGATGGATAACAGATAGTTGAGTGGGTGGTGGACAGACATATGGATGGACATACTGATGCCCACACCCATCATTGTCCCCTCTCTATTGTTGCTGCAGCTGACCCAGAGGATCTGCCCCCATCCTCAATTGACACCCCAACTGAGGCGGCTCCATCTGAGACCCTGTCAGCACGGGCAGTATTGGGGGAGCTGAAGGTCTCCAGTGTCACACCCAACTCTGTGCAGCTGCACTGGACTGTCCCAGAGGGCCACTTTGACTCCTTCATGCTGCAGTACCGGGATGCCCAGGGCCAGCCCCAGGCTCTGCCCATCAATGGCAGGTTGCGCTTGGTGACGGTGCCAGGGCTGTCCCCATCCCACCGGTACCGCTTCCACCTCTATGGGCTGCGGGCCAGGAAGAAGATTGACCACGTCTCCACTGAGATTGTCATAGCTGACAGGGAAGGTCAGAGGATTAAGGGTGGGTGGATGGGTGGGTAGGTGAAACATAATGGATGGATGGATGGATGGATGGATGGATGGATGGATGGATGGATGGACGGACGGACGGATCTTTGGATACCCATGTCCATCATCATTCCCTCTCCACCACAGCTGCAACTGTGCTAGAGGAGCTTCCCCTGCCCTCAGAGGAACCCGAAGATGAGAAACACCAAACTGAGGTCCCCACATCTGCACCCACCCTGGTCGCAGGCAGTGCTGAAGGAGCTGAGAGTCTCCAGTGTCACCCCTGACTCTGTGCAGCTGCAGTGGACTGTCCCCAAGGCTCCCTTTGACTCCTTCATGCTGCAGTACCGGGATGCCCAGGGCCAGCCCCAGGCCCTGCCCATTGATGGGGAATCTCGCTCTGTGACTGTGCCGGGGCTGTCCCCATCCCACCGGTACCGCTTCCACCTCTATGGGCTGAGGGGAAGGAAAAAGATTGCCCATGTTTCCACCGACATTGTCACAGGTGAGGAGGATGGTCCGAGGGGTGAGGATGAATGAAGGGATGAAGGATGATGGGTGGAGGGAGAGATGGAGAGATCAAGTGATGGAGGAACATGTGGGTGCCTGAAGGGTACAGAGAGGTACAGGGGTGAGTGGATGGAGGATGGATCAGTTGATGGATGGATGATGGATGGAGGGCTTCTGAGTTGCCTCTGAGTTGGTTGGTTGATCAGTGGAGGATGGATGGATGGATGGATGGATGATGGATGGATGGATGATGGATGGATGATGGATGGATGATGGATGGATGGATGGATGGATGGATGGATGGATGGATGAGGAATGGATGGATGATGGATGGATGGATGGATGATGGATGGATGGATGGATGGATGGATGGATGGATGGATGGATGGATGAGGAATGGATGGATGATAGATGGATGGATGGATGCATGGATGGATGGATGGATGATGGATGGATGGATGGATGGATGATGGATGGATGATGAATGGATGGATGATGGATGGATGGATGGATGATGGATGGATGGATGGATGGATGGATGGATGGATGATGGATGATGGATGGATGGATGGATGGATGGATGGACACATGAATTCTCACATGCATCGTCATCCTGTCTCCATTGCAGCCACAGCCAAGACAGAGGAGCTGCCCCTGCCCTCAGAGGAGCCCCAACCTGAGGACCCCAAAGGAAAAGACCCTCCAACTGAGGTCACCCCATCTGAGGTCTCCCTGGAACAGGCAGTGCTGAGCGATCTGAGGGTTTCCAATATCACCCCTGACTCTGTGCAGCTGCAGTGGAGTGTCCCCAAGGGCCCCTTTGACTCCTTCATGCTGCAGTACCGGGATGCCCAAGGCCAGCCCCAGGCCCTGCCCATCGACGGTGGGTCTCGCTCAGTGACGGTGCCGGGGCTGTCCCCATCCCACTGGTACCGCTTCCACCTCTACGGGCTGAGGGATGGGAAAAGGATTGACCACGTCTCCACTGAGACCACCACTGGTGAGGGGCTGCAGGGACTCCCCCAGGACCCCTCAGGGAATGGAGCTGGAGTGGGGACAGGGCTGGGTGTGGAGCCCAGGGGGAGCTGGGAGGAACTGGGCTGTACTGGGGGAGCCAGAGAAATGAGGGGGACCAGGAAGCTCAGGGGACTGGGGGGCACTGAGGACTGGGGAATTTAGGGGAAAGTGGGAGCTGGAAGCAACCAGGGATTGAAAGGGACTGGAGATAAGGGGGAGTGCAACCCCTGGAGGGACCCTGATCAGCTGGGGACTGAGAGGAACTCAGAGCAGCTGGCTAGCTCGGAGCTAGACTGGCTAGAACGGGGGCCTGGGGTAATCTGGGGCCTGGGTGAAACTGGGTGAAGCTGGGGAATGGGTGGAACTGGGGAGAACTGGGGCTGTGGTGGAGCTGAGGACTGGCAAAGACAGGGAGCAACTGGGCACTGAAGAGAATTTGGGAGCTACTTGGTAGCTGTGGGGATCTGTGAACTGGGAGAGACTGGGAATTTGGGGGAACTGGAGGAATATGGGGGATTAGTTATTGGGGTGACTGGGGGCAGTTTGAGAACTGGGGGGGACTTGGGAGAGCTCAGTGGGGACCAGGGAGGGACAGTGGGGAATTGGGAGTAGAGGAGGATTGAGAGCAACTGGGGCTGTGGGTACCTGGGAGAACTGGGAGAAACTGGGAGCTGGGGGTAGCCAGAGGACTGCAGGGAACTGGAGATTAGGGGCAATGTAGCACTGGGAGGAACTGGCAGGAGAACTGGGGACAACCTGGGA